ATCACGTGAAAGTGAAAATTTGTTGGCGCACCTGGGGTAGTTCCCTAAAAATGTCTAATCGCGTGATAAACATGATGCGATCCAAACAAATACGTGCTATTTTCACTACCATGATAAATTAACATGAGATCATTGATGTAAAAATTTCCCAGACACATGATCCGTGCACTGATCCCGATAGGGATAAATTCATGTACCGACTGGTACGTACATTAGGGGTAATTTGTTACTAACGCTAATAATTAAATTCTTAATCGCCTTTCTCAATGGTTGATAAAAACAACCATCCTGTTTTTTATAGTTACTCTGATTGGCAGAAATTTAAAATCCTCGGGAAAATTGTCATAAGGATCTCTTCAATTAATTTCGATTAATCGAAAACAGGGATTATTATCTGCAAAATAAATTTATCTGTAATAAAATTTTTGCAAAGACAAGTGAATTCAAAAGTTTTTGCAAATTCTACGATATTCTGCATTTTGCAGAAAATCATCGTCCGTGACTGGAAATTATACAATTTGTTTTAGTGTGATTCATGACAAACTACCAAATCACATAATTACTAATTATTTCATATTAAGTTTTGTGTCACTGATAGCTCTCAATGAACCCAAATCACACTAAGGCCGTCTCCCTCAGTGTTTACCAACCGATCTGATTGAGAAAAAATCCCGGAGCTGCGACCACAAAGTTTTTTCATAGGGCTGCTCTGATTGGCTAAAGTTTGAATTTTTGCAATTCGTTTTCGATTAACCGCAATAACCACCACCCGCAACATCTCGATCATTAGCTAATCACATTGATGAAGCTACTTGAGAACACCATGGATTGTTCTGAGTCGTTTAGTTAAGCATTATCTTAACATAATTTGTCAAAAAATGACAAAAAAAAAACCATTCAACTTGGCGATTTAAAAAAATTGTTTTTAGAATGCCAAAAACGAAATATGTAACATTGTATATGCTGTAAAACATATGTAATGCTGGTTTATTTAATTGAAAAAAGCTTAATATTAATCAAAAAAAGTTTGGTTTAAAAAATTGTGTCGTGTTTTATTAAGAATCCATTACAGAACTATTGTGAAATTTCAAGTTTTGAGTTCGTTATATTGGGTAGAATATGAAAAAATTCTGTTATGTATCGTATTCCCAATATTACTGTTATCTAATGTGTGTATGACCTTGTATATTGTACAATTATTTATAGTAAAATTAATTGAATCAAAAATATATTTGAGTTCATTGAAGCTACCTAAAAGGTTAAATTGATTTTGGTTTTTTTTCCTTTTGAAATAATTGCGTTTCCATAACCTATTTTCAATTACAACCTTACGTAGTACCTACGTAACAATTTTTTGTTTGTATTTTGAAATGTGAAAGTTTTTAACATGCAAAAATTAACGTTAACACAAACAATGACTTCTTAAAACACTAGATCTTCATAATTAACATGTATGACAGCAAAATCACTTATGACTTCGGTACAGTATAGAGTTGCTGGTGAAACTAATTTTAAGTTTCACCATGAAGTTTCTCATTGGCTGTTCTATTTAGTTTCACCAACTTCACCAGCTTCACCAGTTTCACCATTTTCACCAGTTTCACCTGTAACTCTAGTACATTACCAGTTTAACAAAAAATTAAATTTTGAACGGACTTTTGCAGAATAATATCTGGAATTGAATCACAGGAGCGAGTCAAACCACATTTGCAGAATATCAAAATATTTTTAAATATATCGATATAATAACATTAATAACAGATAAATTATTATCAGTTATATATGTACACACATAATCTCACAGATTATTATCTTAAGGTTCCGGTCTATGTTATATGCACCGTAGTTACAACTTACGCCAATACTACAAAACAGTTACAATTTTACTACAATGTGTGTCGTAATTAATTACTTCACTGTACCCACATCAACTATGGGTTTACAATGATTTGTGCTATTAAAATCAAATCCATGATTCTGAACACTCGAATCTCTAATTAGATGTACATAACTTATGACTAAAAGAAGTTATAAGAAAATAAATAATTAACAATAATGCTATCTTTCAATACCGATACGATTTAGTATGTGTAATTATTTATGTCAGATTTCATGACTAACAAATACAAATAAATACAATACCAATTCCTAATTTATCCTGTCATCAAAAATTCTTTCGAAAAAGCTTATTTTAAGGAAATTTCAATGGAAAAAAAACGGAAAGATATATCGTTAACTCCGGATAATAGTGCATAAATAAATGGTTAGAAAGAAAAAAAAATAGTTACTTATATATATTTACAAAAGTTATATATAAAAACTTTTGAAATATATGTACTGTATAAGATAATAATTTTTTGAAAATAATCTATGAATTAAAATTATAACAATGCCAGAATTTGGGAAGGATAATGTAACGGGAATTGAAAAGAGTGACATAAAATATGATGCACCTCAATGGGGATGGCAAGAAGTTATGTGTAGTTATAAACCTATGAGTCCATTACAGATACTTGGTATTTGGGCAACAACTGTTATGTTAATCGTTAGTTTTATACGTTTATGGTTAAGAAAAGGTTCTAAAAAAAGTGTAATCTGGAAATATATAATTCATTCTTTTATAATTACCATAGATATTGTATTAGTATTTGTTGACATTGGCAAACGACAAAAGTTGGATTTTTACCTTGTAATGGCAATGCTTCCTTTAATTTTTGTAATACATGGTGGTAATTCTGCTGGAGGCCTCATACAATCTTGGTTTTCTTTATCCCTATGTTCTTTATCAACAGTTTTGATCTGTTGCACTCCGGCAAGTTGTTGTGTTGAGGGTGGTTGTGGTCTCTGTAGTTGTTGCTTTTGGTTCTTTTGTTTCTGCGGCTGTTGTGGTGGTGCTCAAGAATGCCTTACCAGTAATGGTACTAATAGTTGTTGCTACCAGTCTTGGTGTTGCTGTTGTAATGGTAATGGCTGTTGTTGTTGTAGCAGTACCGGTTGTCAATGTTGTCAATGCATGAGACCATGCTACGTACAATGTATGACTCATCCCTGCCCATTACCTGCATGCGCGTGGTTTGGTTGGAACGTGCTGCTTTGCATTGAAAACACTCCTTCGTTATTTTTATTTGCTCAAATGTGTATAGATGAAGAGAAAGGTGATCCTGCTAAATATCTTGATAAATATAGCCCTGATCGTTCACATTTAGTAACATTCATTGGTGGTTGGTGGTTTATCATTTCAAGTGCGGTAGCTATTGCTAATACGGTTATGTATGTTAACTGTGGAAATACAGAATTGGGTCAAGCTCCAATTTTTAGTCATCTTATTTCTTTCTGGTTTGGCGCTTTGTGGGATTTCTTTGATCTCCTAATCCACTGTTTACTTAGTTGATTTGTTATTGACCCTACAGATGCCAAAAAATTCTAGTATCTAGTAATGATATCACTCCCATTACAAACAAACCAGTTGCTATATTTTAAATAGCAGATTTGAAGTTTAAATCCTATTAGTGATAAAAATTTTTTTAAAAAAATATATCAACTTGTGTTAAATCAATTGCTAGATAACAGGATGATTAATCTTTCTGAAGTATCTGAACTGTGATTTTAAACCAAATCTTATAATTTATTGCTATTTATTTGTAATAAATAATTTTATCATATATATAGTATCATTATAAACAAATATAAGCTAAATAAATTAGGTTATAGTTTAAAGCCAAGTGGTTTGTAGGCATCTATAATTTTAGGTACCATCTTATTATTATGTAGGGTTTCACATAGAGGTTGGAACTGGTTTTGATCATTCAGGTTTATCACATGAATTTTGTGATATTTTAGAATTTGTTAAAATTTAATTGGATAAATATCTAAAATATCACACAATTGATGTAATACAGTCAGAGATTTTACCACATTTGGTAATTGATGATTGCATCTTATTTGGGGGTTGTTTAAAGCTTAGCACTTTATGAAATCACCTGAAGGATGAGAAATCACAAAACATAGATTATCTCGGCCTTTTGAAAAAATAACATAAAATCTACTTTAAGAAACTGTCAATGTTACACATCTAATATAATTATTTATGTTGTGAATTACTTTACACCTATGTAGTTGTATAATATTAACATTAATGCTTTCTTCTGTTACTTTGATCACTAAATGTGATACTTTTTAATTTTTTTCTTACTAATTTTCTTACTGGGGTTTTTTTTTTCTCTGATATTCTGATATTTAAAGTTTATAAGTTTACTAGAATATAGATTACAAGTACACTTTTATAGTTTTGATATTAATATTTATTTTCTTCTTAGATCTAAGATTTGAACTTCAGCAAGAACTAAATTGATAAGTATTTTTTGTTTCTATTCCTTTTTTTTTTCTTTTATTTATTTCTTTATTTATTTCTTTCTTTTAGTAGATACTAATATCTTCCTTGTTTTTTGTAAGCTTTGTTTTTTTTAAAAATGCAAATGTGAACCAAAATGAAGTTCTAAATTTTAGCAGAAAATAAGAACTATGACTGAAGATATGTATTAATTATTCTTTTATTTATTTAATTATTCTTTAATTTATTTAATTTTTTTATTTATTTAATTCTTTTTTTATTTATTTAATTCTTCTTTTCTTTAGCAGATATTAATATCTTCTTTTTTTTGTAGATTTTGACTTCATTAAAATATGAAAATAGGACTAGTGATGGATTTTGAACTTTGATAAAAAATAAGAACTATGGCTAAAGATAAGTACTAATTCCTTTATTTTATTTTATTTTATTTTTCTATTTATTTCTATGATAATTTTTTTTTCTTGTAGGCTTTGCCCTTATTAGAATATAAAAAAAACTAGCAATGGAGTTCTGAACTTTGACAGGCATTAATTCATGTTGGTTAATGAAAGTTTTGACTTGGTTTGGAACTAAAAACAGAACCAAAGATAAGTATTAATTTTTTTTTTTTAGTTTGCTTCTTTTTAATTCTTTTTAGCATATACTAATGTTTTTTGTATCTAGCTTAGATAAAATATAAAATCATATTAAGATTTGGGAACTGGGCTATTCTTATTTCTGCTTAATTACTTCAATTTACTATGATGTATAATTTCGTGAACAATGTTGAGTCAAATTAAAATTTGCATCAGATTAAAACAACTATAATACCACTAATATTTACTTACCCTTATCCTGATATACTATATAAGTTTTTATCCTAATCTTAATAAAACTCTACAATTTTAATTTAACATAATTATGTAATATTTTTATTTCAATAAAAGAAGTTTATGCATTTACAAAAAATATATTCATCTTCATTTATTACCTATAGTAGTTTGGCATCTATCATGTTTTTATTATGTTTAATAAATTTTTCTATGTTTTATATATGAAATCTTTAATATAGAATTTTTACATTATGGTTAGTATTTAGGTTAGAATTAAGATTTGAAAAGGGTTTTGGAGAATATAAAATTAAGATTTGGAAAGGGTTTTGGAAGATGTAGAATTAAGATTTGGGAAGGTTTTGAAGAATATAAAATTAAGATTTGGGAAGGGTTTTGGAGAATATAAAATATTTTTATTTAGACTACCTCATACTAATTAATTAGCTAGTTTTTAAGATAGTGTATTCATAAGTGTAAAATACAATAGATGTGTTTTAGTAAATTTTATTTATTTAAAATAAAATCCAAAGAATTGTTTAAATCTTTAATAAATTTTGATTTTTCTTCTGAGCTCCCTTCATTCTCTATTTTTCAGTATGCATTTTGGGTTCTTTCTATCAATTCACTAATAATTAAACATCTATTTTTTTTTCAATAACTTTTTTAGCTTCAGTCTTTTTAAACAATTCTATTTCTACTAAATCATAACACACATATATTTCAAAACCATTTTCTACAAACATATTTTGAAATTGCTCTCACATATTTAAAGTTAATAGTTTTTTATTACCATATACATGTTCATGAAATATATATCAACAAGAAAGTAAGTACTGATAAAAGAACAGACAAGAACAGTTAGGTGAAGTTAAACCAGGTGATTCTTTACCTCTTTCTATCCTTTTTCAATAGCACAAACTTCAGCAACAATTAACTATTGGATTGAAAATAGAAACTTGTAAATTTGATCAAGAATTTTATCATCAACTCCAACAACTGAAATTCATTTAATTCTGAATTTGAAAACCACATGTTCTGAGTTGGTGTGTTTTTTATATCTAAGATAATAATTTTATGACATGTGTTTAATATAAATAAAATGAATAATACTTAAAATAATTTTTATACTATATTTATTATACCATGACTCGATGATGTTATTGTCTTTAATTCACTATAGTATGATTCCAGTGCATTCATCGAAGTTACTTGCAATAAAAGCAGTAAATGCTGTCAAGCCCATAAAGCCTATTGATTTAAATTATTTTGATAATTTCTTTTAATATAATTCTTTATATTGATAACTTGACACAACTCAATCACCTTTTTGATAAGTATATCGCATCCAATTTTTGTAGCTTTATGCATTGCTTGAATTATTTTTCTTCAGGTTTTTGCTTCATATATTTTACACATCCATACTCATATTATATAGACTGTGCAGAAAATTATTGCACATTCTTGTTTACTACTCCAGAGATCAGAAAATGCTTTCATAATACTATTAGCCTTAACATGACTTTAGTCAGCAAGAATATATCACAGTTTTCAATAGCTTCCAAATTTTTTTACAATTTTTAAGACATCTGAAACTGTGTTACTATCTTCTTTATTAACAAAAAAATGAGCATTAACATCCCAACAGTTATACAAATCTCAAACATATAAGATAAACAGGTGGCAATTATACTTGTTGGTTTTATGCATTAAATCAATAAGAGTTAATCACCCATATTGTTTAAGCTTGACAATTTGAAGAAAATGTATAAAGACCAGACCATAAGTAGACTGACTAGAAGTTACATAATGTTCAATATGATAGTCCTGGTTTTTCAAAAAAAAAATACTTTTTTCTATATCAGATTTTTTATTTTTATTACCATCTAAATAGTTATTTTGAACTTCATAAACTTTGTATTAAATGTTTGTAACTTCAGTACATTTTAGCTTCTTAACACTTGAGTCCAGATTCTTATCCTAATCACATAGTTTTTTAATCACACTCATAATTGCAGATGGTAAGTAGTTTTTGGTTGCTTCTTCCTTAACTAATTTCTGCACTACTTCTAAACACTTTAGCCTTTCACTTTTATCAAGTGTGTGTATATGATCAGAACTTCTATTATATCATTCTACTTACACTTTTTGTGCATTAACAAAATGTAGTACCCAGATTTTTATAAAACAGAGATTGGGAAGATGAACCTTTATTTTTCAATATTTTTCAACAGGAATTCCTTTTTTTCGATACTTAAATAATTATGCTTCATTAATTAGCATGCAAATGCCTTCTAAGAATTATTATTGGTGTGGTTTTTATAACTGAACCTTGTCCACATATTTGTAATGAGCAGCTACTATTCACTATTGAATTTATTTATTAATACTTCAAATGGTTTACTAACATTAAAGAGAAGTAATCATCTTTGATAAGGAGTTGTAAATTGTGAAATGTAAACTTTGATCCCTTTATGTGCTATAAGTGCTTCATTTGCTACAGATATTGCTTGTACCTCCTCATTTTTTTCTTTACTATTATCTAATACAATCATATCATTTTCCTCTAATACTGTCTTTTGTTTTTCACTAAAACTTTACTTTCATCAACTTCAATTTCTTCAAACACATTGTCTTTTCTTTCAACAAAGTTACCAGCTATATATATATATTTTTTTTCTTCATTTGAGTAGTCTTGTTAGTTATTTTTATTATATATTTTTGTATTACATATATACAAATTAGTTTATAAATTTTGGTCCAACATCTTATGAGTACTTCTATAAGTCTCTACAAGTGATCTGCCTACACTGACTGTCTAATTTCAAAAGAAATTAAAGTATGTTAGAGGCCACATCTAACTACCATTCTACAATAAGATATTACCAATTTGATAACATTTTCTCATAGAGAAGTGAACAAAAACAAAAAAACTTATATATAAAAAAAAACACAAAGATATAGAGGTAGACGATAAAAGATACAAATACAAAAAATAAAAGAGGGAAAGGAGAGAAGTGAGAAACAAAAGAAAAGATATGTGTAACTCTTGCCATATGACTATTGGATGGTCACAATTATAAGTCTGTGTTAGACTTTTAAAAATTATAAACTATACAAATAAAAATAACTCTACTATTTTTCTATCTACTAGAATATTTAACAAAAACCATGTAGGATAAAACTTCAACTTGAATGTAGAGAGTCAGCATGAGTACTGGTTAGTTTGGGAACAGTATTTTACAAGGTTTTAGTAGTTCAAGGCACATATATAAGTTGTGTTTTATTGCTGTATTGTTTACACAATCCTGATTAGGAAGTAAATACTGCTAACTGTTTTGGTGTTTTACATGTTGATCTTTTGAAGAGGGTAAACTGAATTACCTACTTTTTATAAAATTTTTCTCAAAAAAAAAAGAGAAAGCATAAGGTGAACTAAACTATAGCTTTTGTAAATGCTTAACCCTTCTGAAAGTTTCTTGTAGATTTTACAATTGTATAGAACTAATATATTTAATACTGTTGTTTATTTTATAAGAGACTTTTGGCTGTCACTAACTATTTCTTCTATAGTTCCAGAGCTCCTTTAAACTGTCATCACAAAGTGATAGCTTTTTTTTTCAACTCTATTTCAATACTCACTATGCATGCCCAGTACTCCAGGAAAGTTTTCATAAAGTTTAATCTATTAACTATATCATTTTTCTGTAGTCAGTATTTTGGAAGGTTTGGTTCAGATAATCGTTGAAAAGAGTGATATGTTTTTTTGTTATCAGGCATATTAAAAAAAAAACTATATTATATAAAAAAAAAAGAAACTGCAAAAAAATAATTTGCTTACAATTTAACTACAAAACTACAATACAATGAATATGCTTTGCTCACTAAACAATAATACAGCAGTAATATTTTTAAAAATGCTTTCAACAATATATTATGATTTAGTAATAATGCATAGTAAAAAAAAGTCTTAATAACTTTTTATTGTTTGTATGTAACTAACACAACTGCAAAAAAAGAAGATTTGAAAGGAAAAAAAAAGAGATTCTTTAAAAAAAAAAAAAAAGAGATTCCTTTAAAAAAAAAAAAAAGAGATTCCTTTAAATAAAAAAAAAAAAAAGATTTTTTTAAAAAATAAAAATTGTAGATTCTACTAAATATTAAAAAAAAATCAGGATCATTATGTCTTTCATGATTTTTTATATTATAGGTAATTTCATGAGATGTTAGACTTTAAATGACTTCTGAAAAGGGTGTGAAAATAAACATTCAACTGTCAGTGAACTAATAAAAAGAACTTGAAATGCATACTGAAAAAATAGAGGATGAAGAAGCCTAGAAGAAAAATCAAAATTTATTAAAAATTTAAACAATTCTTAAGATTTATTTTAATTAAATAAATTTTATTAAAATACATAATTATGCCAAATTAACATAGGATAAAACTCTATACCAGATGTTTCAAAAATTTTACTACTAGTCCAATATCATAATCTTATAAAAAAATTAGGCAACTTTTGAAACACCCAGTATGTTAGAATAAGGGTAAGTAGGTATTATGACATTATAGTTGTTTTAATCTAATGCAAATTTTAATTCAACTCAACATTGTTCATTTCACAAAATTATACATCATAGCTATATTATTATTTTATAAAGTATAAATCGCAATAATTAAACAGAAAAAAGAAGAAATGCCCAGTTTTTAAATTTTAACATGATTCTATATTTCATCTAAGCTAGATACAAAAAATATTAGCATATGCTAAAAAGAATTAAAATAAAACAAACCAAAAAAAAATTTAATACAGTCAACTTTTTCTATAATGAACTGAAGATTCTGGAAGAAAAAAAGTTTGTTATAGAAAAATTATTATGTTTTCTTAAGAACTATCATCACTTTTTATACTAAAATTTCAAAATTTTTGTGTTCATTATATTCAGAGTTTGTTATAGAAAGGTTTGTTATATCTATAGTCAACTGTACTTATTTCTGGTTCTGTTCTCAGTTCCAAATCAAGTTAAGATTTCTATTGACCAATATGAATTAATACTTATCAAAGTTCAGAACCCTATTGCCAGTTTTTTTTATATTCTAATAAGGTCAAAGTCTACAAGAAAAAAAAATTATTATCTGCAAAAAAAAATAGTAATGAATAAAAAAAAAAAAAAGAAATTAGTACTTAACTTCAGTCATAGTTCTTATTTTTCACCAAAGTTCAAAACCCTATCACTGGTCCATTTTTGCATTCTAATAAAGCCAAAACCTACAAAAAAAAAGAAGATATTAATATCTGTTAAAGAAAGATAGAAATAAATAAATAAAAGAATTAAATAAATAAAAGAATTAATACATATCCTCAGCTATAGTTTTTATTTTCTGCTAAAGTTTAGAATGGTCTACATTTACATTCTAAAAAAAACAAAGCTTACAAAAAACAAGAAAGATATTAGTATCTGCCAAAAGAAATAAATAAATAAATAAAAAAATAAAAAAAATAAAAAATAAAATAAAAATAAAAACAAAAAATACTTATTAATTTAGTTTTTGCTAAAGTCCAAATCTTAGATCTAAGAGGAAGATAAATATTAACATCAAAACTATAAAAGTGTACTTGAAATTTATATTTTAGCAAACTTATAAACTTCAAATATTAGAATATTAGAGAAAAAAAAAAAGCCCAGTAAGAAAATCAGTAAGAAAAAATTAAAAAGTATCATGTTTAGTGATAAGTAACAGGAGGAAGCATTAACATTAATATTACACAACTAAATAATTGTATTAGATGTGCAATATTAATAGTTCCTCAAAGTAGATTTTACATCATTTTTTCAAAAGACCAAGATAATCTGTTTTTATGATTTCCCGTACTTCAGATGATTTTGTAAGATGCCAGGCTTTAAATGACCCCCTTATTTGGAAATAATTTTTAATCAAATTATTATAGATTTCTTTTTTGTGTGCACAATGATTGGCCAATAAAATTGAGAGCCCTATATTAATCAATTTTATAATATTACTAGTACTTTTAAAAACTTTCAATTTATAAAATAATGAAATGCTAAAGTATAATACATAATTTTTTTTTTAACTTTATTGCTTGCATATTACTAGTCTTTTCTGCTTTTTGTTACATACAGCTACAAAAAATTCTTTTAAAAAACCTTCAAGTAAGTCAAAATTAAATATTTTTAAAACATATTCAATTATTTTAAACTTATGGTGTTTATATGTTATATTTTCATAAAAGCTGTCAGTATTATGCCAAGATCAAAAGTGTCTCAAATTTGGGATCTTTAATTAGCATAGATTGAAAATTTTAAATAGGTTAGTAAAGACACTTTGTAAAAGAACTTTAACTTTAAATCTTGCAGATGCATCTTACAAAAATACTTTATTAAAAGGTTTGAACCTTTATCAAATAATCTTGATTAGTGTTAACAAAGCATTGATGAATGCATTTTCAAAAACATCTTGAATTTTATTAAAGAATTTAAATTTAATATTTCAGTACAGGTTACTTCTGTTAACTTACTTGAATTTTATAATTATATTAAAATATGTGAGAGTTAATAATACTAGAAAATTTTTATATAGCTTAAATTTATTTTTTTTTATTAAGAAATTGATTTTAATGAGGTTGACATTAACAGAGATAACTTCATTTATTTAGTATAAGGATGTTGAACCAGTTATATTTCTGTATTTTAGTATATAGACTAAACTAGTTCAAGTTGTTTAATATATTAAATTTATACAGGTTGTCTCTGTTAATATCAATCTTTTATTAAGAAAAAATAGATTAGGCTAAATAAAAATTATTCTGTTGTTATCAATTCTCACATATATCAATATAATTTTCTAATTCAAATAGTTTGACATTAACTAAGATAATCTGTATTTAATATTTAAAATAGTTAAATGGTTTAACATTTCTAAATTTAGCATTAGAAATAACAGTAGACTTTTAAAGAACATTTGCATTTTTTTATATTAATTTTTGTTTAGATAGATTGAAGTGTCGATAGTTTAAAGTATCAATAGTTTGGATTTGTCCACTTCTAACTTCCAAACTCTAGTCAAATTTATCTTTTACAGATTATAACTAGTTTGTTATATTACTGTATTACTGCTATACTATATTAAATAAATTTTTAATATTAGGGTTAGATTAAAAAAAGCTAAAAAGAGGATTTAGGCAAAACTTGTACTAAAATTATAAGTAAAATTTTTTTTTGTGCAATTTCATAAGCAAAATTTTAAAGTAAAAAAATTTTTTATAAATTGTAATTATCTTTTATGGTTTTGAATTTGTCTATGTTTGCCAATATATATATATTGAGGTTTTTTAATAAATTATTTTATAAAAATCTAAAGTTAAATAGACTAGAAATACCAAAATAATATTATATACAATAAATAAATATTTTAATATGATTAAATTTAGTGTTTTTATATGTTAACTTTATTTTTATTTGTAAAATCTCATATATTAAAATACATATATATAAACAAAATTAAGTTCTATATTAAATTTCTTATAATTATAATAATTGGGTAATAACCTTTATTACTGTAATGAAAACTCGAACTAAGCAATCTTTAATGCTTAAAACTTTATATTTTAATT